GCAACAGAGAAAAAGTTTAGAGCAGAGGCAGAATTTTAATCAAATAGGAAAATTTCCTTTTTAGTAAAAGCACCGGTATACTCCAACATACTTATTATGCACTATGTATTTATTATGCCATTTTAAACTGTCCTACTGAAAAGCCAATGGATGACTCCCATCACATTATTAAAACTAAAAACAATAAGTAAAAACATAACAATAAAACTGATGAAGATGAAATGTGATGAAAATGTAAATAAAATATTCCCACATGACCTATTTAGGATATCGTAACTAAAGCTCAAGATAATATCTTTAGACATAATAAACATTGTCATTGTAAGAGCAACTCTATGACAAATTTTGTTCCACTAAAATTCAATATTATTAGATTTCCAATTATGGGTTGAATCTCTTAGCTTGTTAAGGGGGAAAAAAGCTCTCCCCACAAAAACCTCTGATACAAAAAGGTATCAGAACAAACTGGGAAACTGAGGTATGAAAACAATGAGAAAGCTGCACTGTAGAACTTCATGTACCCATTTATAATTTGTTCAGTGGCCTGAAACTGAATTATATAACCAGGAAGATCTACACAAGACCTCTAGCAGGCCGAGTTACCTTATAGAACAGGAGTCAAGATAGCAGAAAGTCTTTCTCAACCAGGTGCCCTCAGGACATTTTAAGACTATATGTCTAGACCAGTATTTCTCAACCTTGACAATTTTAAGGCATGTGGACTTCAACTCCCAGAATTCCACAGCCAGCTGAAGACCAGTGGAGGGATCTGAAGTTCTGAATTGAATTGGATTCTCCAGTAAATGTCATGAGTAAGCAAGATGCTAAGAGCAAATTATTTCCTTGAACATCCTGGAAGTCACCTGCCTTCCAGGCGTGGAGATCCCAAGCCATTTTATGCTTTAATCTAGAAAATAATTTCTTGCATGTTTTCTGTAGTAAAAGAAAGGAACTGAAGCCAAGACAGTATAACTTAATTTGTGTGAAAACTCAAGAAAACATCTTTGAAAAAAGGTATGTTCTGCACAAATTATTTTCTACCAGTTGGAGAAGATAGATGTTACAGAGTAATATATATTGAAGACCCACTGAAGGGTGGAGAAGGCTACTTCATACATTTATCAATTTGATTTAGTGGTTAAGGCACCAGGCTAAAAAAACCAGGAGACTCTGAATTCAAATCCCACTTTAGGCATGAAAGCCAACTTTGGTCCACCCACTCTCTGTCAGCCTCATAGGGTGTTGTGGGGAAACAGGAGAAAGGATTAATATAGCTATGCTTGCTGCCTTAAGTTATTTATAAAAATAATAAAGGCGAGATTTTAAAAAAATCTACATTTATCTTCAATCAATAGACTGAAGTCTGTCTATAAACTGGTTCATTGTTCCATTTGCAGCAAGGGACATCGTTGAGAGAGAAAAAAACCATCTCATTCAAAAAGAATGTATGCAGTGAGTACTAGGGGATGCACAAAGCTCTTCCTATCTTTTTTGCCAGCCACAAGAGCTAAAATAAAACTTTCACAGTCCAGTAACTTCTGTGTTCCAATTTTTAATACCACCGTCTAGCAATTTAGACCCTCTCCTCAGTGATGTGAGAGGGGGAAACAACAAAATTTTTGTTCAGAACTTCTTTTTAGCAAAAGAAATATACCAGAAACATTTATATTTTCCATACAAATACAGGTTCCTTGTCTTTTTTAAATCTCTTATTACTATAAATTCTAGTGGACATGAATTTATGCAAATATGTGCATGTAGCCCCCTACTCAATATCCTAAAGCTCCATGCAACATGCAGATGTTTCTCAAACCTTTGAAAGAGAGAAAAGAAAGCAAAAAAAGGGCAAAACCTGGAGATCATTATGGTACTAATTAAAATAAGACATTACTGTTACATTTGGAAATGTTGAAGGCCACTAGACTATAATTTATTATTTTACTGAAACAGACAGGGGGATTAAGCTTAAGGCCAATCAAACCAAGGAATCCCTTTTATATCTTATTCCCTTTGATTCAACCTTAAATATCATGTTTGCTCCATTTGTAGCCCCTTTCAGTTTGTTACCTTAACTGCATGCCTGATTTATCCATCATGTAATAAATTTTTGCACCATCATAATCCCTCACAGTATACCATTTAATGGATAGGCAATGATGTGTTCATATTTTATCTGGGGAAAAACTAAGACATGAAAATAGTAATCTTTGCTACCTATTTTACAACTACCAGCTACTCCTCGTTTGGCAGCTTCATTTAACAACCATTCAAAAAGACAATGGTAATGTAAAAAAAAAAAACTCATTTTCTGACCAATGCACACACTTAAGACCAAATTTTGTGCAAATGTTAAAAAGATCTCTTTCCACAAGGCCACAAGATTATTTACACTATAGCATCAGCACTTGACAAAGCCTTTTAATCCTGAGTAGTATTCATTCCTTGTGGTATAAAAGTTATACATACTTCTTGCTGAGATGCAAAACCTGTATATTGGAATTACGCAACATAGTCAGATCACTCCCACTTAAGGGAGGGCTATAAGAAAGCTTTTATATCCACTTTGGAGTCCATCAGAACCCAACATGGTACATGTCAAAGGTGCTACTTAGACAGGGAGGCTGAGGTTTAAGGCTAGCCACAGTCATGGAAGCTCACCAGAAGATGGGATATAAGCCTAATGTATAAAAATCAGTGAATAAAGTACATTTAGAACAGGAGTGTCAAACTGCCAGCCCACGGGCCGGTTTCATCATACACAAACCGCACCCACCCCATTGCCGGCAATGCAAAGAGTCATGATATATTGTGACATGTCATGTGACATGGCGAGCTTGACACCCGTGATTTAGAACAATCATAGCATCTGATGTCATGTATTCCATGCCTTACTGTCAGAATCACTGCAAAGAGTTTGGCTCAAAATCCAATCACATCAAGAGACCACATTTTTAAAATAACAGCCAAATTAAACTTAATTTGAATGAATGCTATGAAAAAAATAATATACTGGTAGAATGCAATACAGCATGAGAATTAATAAAGTTCTTTCAGGCTATGAGGAATGGGTAAAAACAGACTCATGCATTACACTGGATTTTTTTTTTTTTTGCCAATAAAACAAGTGCTCACTGGAGGAGAGATGCACATGAACAACAGGTGCAGCTCAGCCCCACTCCCTATCCCCTTCTCTGTTTGAAATAGCAAATTCCAAAACGTTCTATTCATGACCTGAAGAAACACAGACTGAGAAGGCGCTCTTTGCTTTATCCATCCCAGCTTCCTGAGGATATTATTACAACTCCAAATAATACCTCCCACTGGACAAAATGTGCCAAGGTCCTAGGCCAGGGAAGGTTCTCCTTTTACTTTCCTTAGTAAAGCAGCATTTTAAGAGAAGAATCACTCTTTTTAAATAAAAAAATTCTATCCACAGACTAGTCCAATATGTTATTATTTCCACCAAGAAAACCAATAAATCCAACAAAGTTTGAGACTACCACTCTCTTGACACAGCAGGGAAAATTGGGCTCCCCAGATATTGCTCAACTGCACCTTTCAGCATCCTTCACATTGGTCATGCCAACCACAGCTGCTGGGGCTTCTAGTTCAGCAAATATCTAGTTCAGGACCAGATATTCCCCACCCTGTTTAGAAGCAGCATTTCACTCTTGATCCCATAAATGGAAAGATAATAACAGCATAAGAAATTCAAGGTAACAGTCTGGTGTAAGTCAAATTAAAATAGGATTTCACATTGATCGTCCCCCCCCCCTCCCATATTATCTCCATCTTTACAAAGGGCCATTTCCTTTCAGCCTTCTCCTTATGAAAGTGTCACTGGGGCAGCAGAAAAGGTCTTTGAAATGGTCAGGAACAGTGTAAGGTTGGGCGGCCTCAGTAAATCATGACAGAGCAACAGTGGAAATCCACCTCTTCCATTGAATTTTAGACACAAAGGGGATTGCATGATTCAGACTAATAAAAAGAGCAGGGGAAGGGGTGGTTGGAGATTATAGTAGGCAGGTGAACGTATGAGCACCGATTGCTAAGAAAGAAAACGCGCCTTTGTAGGCAAAGGTCACGTCATCAGACATTTCTGGGCAAAAGCAAAGAGAGGGGGCGTCAACCATCCTATGGAAAAGAGTGAAATAAACTGAACACAAAATGCAGACCCCAAAGCAATTAAAGCCCCCCCCCGGAGTAGAAACTCCCCCCCCCATATACGAATGCAGCACTGCACTCTTGTTTTTTTTTTTCCTCCAAACCTAATTCATTAAGCAGTGGAAACGTTTTGGTATTCGTTGTAAGGCGATCCGCGCATGTGGAAGGTAAGGGATGTGTTTCAAATATCACGGTCTACGAACCACTCTCCACAGTAAAAAAAAAAAAAAAAAAAAAAAACCCTAGGGCGGCCAGCCTCTGCAACTCCACATTTCCTTTATACTCGCCCGCCACTCCCCGCAAACTAGATCGAGGGAAAACCACTACATTTTTCAAAGATCTTTTTCTGGTCATGTAAAACTGGCCGGCTTCTGCGTTCTCGGGTCTGATTTGTCCCTCTTTTTCTAAGCCAAGGATCTCCTGTTTATTCCACGCCTGGCGGGGGATACATTTCCAATGCAGACACCCCGCCTCTCCCGTAGCTACAACCGACCGCGCACTGATTACTCTCCACCAGCTCGCTTCAAATGCCAACGTCGCCCCGCTCTTTCAAAAAATACCATCTCCCCCCCCCCACACACACACAAACACATACCCTCCCCGATCCCTGAGCTCCAGCGCTGTGCAAATACGAACCTGGAAAAAGCCTCGCCGCTCACGAGATCCTCCAGCGGCTGAAGGGGCTAGCAAAGCCAGAGAGAAATGTTCCTCGCTACCTCTTTTCTCCACCTCCTCCTCCTCCCTTCCCGCCCCCACGCTCCGCTGCAGCAGGCTTGAAAGAGGGAGAGACTGCGGTCAGCGGCGCGCATGGGGTACGTCGGAAAGGCGCTGCTTACCTGCTACGCCGCCTTTCCAACTTCGTTAGTCGCGGCTTTTGTGAAGAACGCCACCTCTCCCCCACCAGCGCCCCCGGTTGCAGGAACCGTTCAGCCAGGCCTGGCCGCCCCGCACCGTCAATTGATGGAAATTAAAAAGGAGCCCAGCTGCACCGAGAAAGAGGAGGAGTTGGTGCCAGTGTGTAACAAGTTTGGGTTGCCCCGCAGATATGGCGGCGGCAACGGCGGCGGCTCCAACGGGGGAGGAGGAGGAGGCCGAGCGAGCCAATGCAACAGCGGGCGGCCCACAAAAGCTTTTCTGCCCTTCAGCGATCCGCTTCGGGGAGAGAAGCGGGAGGGGGGGGGAATGCCTTGAGTAGCGGTGGGGGGCGGAGATTTAAAAAGCAGGGGCTGAGGCGAGGAAAAGCACTGGGGGAATGAGACTGGATTTATTTAGGCTGGGATTTCCCCCCCCCCTTTTCCCATTCCGGTCATTCAATTCTGATCAGAATCATTGTTTTTAAAAAATAAACCAATAAACGATTATTCGAGATCATACGAGCGAAAGTCGATTTCGGGGGGAGGGGGCTCGTACCTGGAAGACCTTAGAGATCGGTGGGCGCACGCACCCCTTGGCTCCCTCCCACCCACCCCCAAATTGCAAGAGCCCTTTGCTTACAGACACCAAAGCTTCTTTCTATTCAACGTGCTATTGTTACTGTCTCGTTGGTGGTTTTTCTGGGAACTGAGTGCAGACAAGCGAAGGTATTGCTCAATGTAGGTGTGTTGCAAACAAGGATCATGGATCACTCCGGAATGGTCCGTTCCTTGTGGGGGTGGGGGAATATCATTTCCTATTTTCTTGCTATTTGCACACAGAGCTTAAAAGTTTGTCAAAAAAATGCCCTTTTTTTATTAAAGTGTTTGTATGCTAAGGCAGCCAACATAATCATCGGTTGTTTCTGCTGTTGTATATTTATGTTTTGTCTAGGTCATTTCGTTTGCCTATAACGCGGCCATCTTACACACACCCCCGCCCCCACGAAAGTTGAGTAACCAAAGGCTTTCATTTCCCAGAATCTTGAGAAAAAAATATTAAGAAAGAAGCACCTGCTCCTTAACCTGCCAGCTTCTTGACAAGCTAGACTCAACTGGTCGTCTATTAGGACTTTGCTCACACAATCTTTATTCCAGTAGTCTTGCTAGTTACGCACCAGTCCCGCTGAAATGTGGGAGAATCTTGGCTTATCCCTACTAATAATATAAACCAGAATATGGGTACTCCTAGACAGTTCATTTAGTGACCGTTTGAAAGTTACATGGCACTGAAAAAAAGTGACTTAATGACCATTTTTCAAACTTAACCATTGCAGCATCTCTGTGGTCATCAAAATGTGGGTGCTTGGTAACAGAAGGTTGTAGTGTCCTGGAGTGAAGTGAGCACATATTTTGCATTTCCTATTCTGATCTCCTTACCTTATGCAAGATTTTTGTCTTAAATCCAGAAGAGCCAATGACAGTCAAACATAGGCATGGAAGATTCAGAACTATTCTGAAGAGGGAATTTTTGTCTTCCGGATGTCACTGAGTGCCTGGTAGACTCATCCATTAGGATTAACAGTGGAGGATATATAAAATATTACAGTTCAGCAAATTCTGGAGGACCAATAATGGAACAGATGTGCCAATAGTTTGATCTGGTAGAAATATCCAGGTTGATAAACATAGAAGATTCGTATTGTCAACATTGCAGAAAAAGTCAGTTTTATCCAAATGTGTCTCTCTCCTTGGCAACAATATAAAAGTGTTTCCGTGTCACTTTTTTTCCAAGTCTATGTTAATCTTTATTCAAGTTCTAACTAAATACACTCTTCTTTGTTTTTTTTTTCTTAAAATCATAGCAGCTCAATATGCAACTCTTAGAGGGGTGGGGGAGAGAGCAAACAATCTATGGTGTGTAGGGCTGTCACAGTATTCAGCATAAATCACTTGTTAAATACAGTATATACTGCTGATCTTTTAAATGTTTTAAATGTTAAGAGTAGGACTTATCATTTGTATATTGCTTTCCTTTCAAAATAGTTAAGATGGTGTTTATACTTTGCCACTCACCTCTCCATTTTATTCCTAAACTCTCTTTGAGCAAGATTAGGACAAGAAGATGAGTTGCCCAATTATCTAATGAGCATAATGGTTAAGTAGGGCTTGACCCAGACATAGATCATATTCATAAGATACACTATGCTATTTTGTGGTTTTGTTTACTGTATCATCCCAACATAGAAGCACGGTCATTTTGAGGTTAGGTGGAAATTCTAACCACAGCGTCACTTCGCATTGCTGCAAAGTGAAGCTACTCTCTGTTGTTCTACTTTTGTTTCTTATTCCTTCTGAATCATGGAGATTTATTTTTAAAATAGGGTTAGAAAATCTTTAGCTTTCAGAGTCTTTATGCCTGATCACGAAAGGTTTTTTTGTGGCCATTTGCAAACAAAAATAAAACAGAACATGCTGGAGACCAATTCAACAATGGTAAGTACAAATAAATTGTGCATTACCATGCTTTGCTTTATTTCACTGGGCAATGCTTTTTATCATAGTACAGTGATGGTGAACCTTTTAGAGACCGAGTGCCCAAACTGCAACCCAAAATCCACTTATGCATCATTGGGTGCCAGGTGGGTGTGGCCCATTGAGTGGGTATGGCTGGGTGAGACTAAAAAGTTCAATCAATCAATTTCAACTTTGCAAGCTCTTTTTTTTCCCTGCAAGAAGTTGAAATTGACTGATTGAACCTTTTTTTTTTTTTTTGTACACGGTGGCGGAGGCCTAAAAGATTTCATAAAACTCAGCTGAAGGCCTAGGACTGGGGTGACAGCGTGCGTGCCCACAGAGAGGGCTCTGAGTGCCGCCTCTGGCACCCGTGCCATAGGTTCGCCACCACTGTCATAGTACCATTGAGCCATATTAAGTACCTCTTGTCGATATGCTTATGGGTCCTCTCATACTACTAATTCTGGTTTTCAGTCTCTTTTTTGCTTCCCTTTTTTTCTCAGACATGGGGAAAATGCATCCGTTTGCCAAGTGTGCTTATTACACCATCCTGCTGCCTTGTTGGAAATTTTGTATATTAATTACTGAATGATTATTTAACTTTCATCACTGACCATTTATTAGCTTCAACAGAATAAAGCTGACTAATCCTCAGAGGTGACTAAAGAATGATCAAGATACTATGTTTTCCTTTTCTCTCCTTTCTACCTGGTCAGATAGGCAGATGTGTTTTCAGGGGCAGGACTAGGCAAGGGGAGGCAAATGACCAAACAACCATTACATACAGTCCTTGGCTTCCAAGATCACATTTGGGGTTAGAATTTCCGTTGCTAAGCAACACGGTTGTTTAGTGAATTGTGCCCAATTTTAGAAGCTTTTTTGTTGTAATTGTGAAGTAAATCACACAATCATCAGGGGAATCCGCTTCCTCCACTGACTTTGCTTGTTGGAAGCTGGTTGGAAAGGTTGAAAATTGAGATCACATGACCTTGGGACACTGCAACCATCGTAAGTACATGCTAGTTGCCAATTGCCAGAATCAGGTTCATGATACTGTGGGGGGACAATGCACCAGTCCTAAATGTAAAGATTGGTTGTAGGTAAATCTTAACTTAAGAGTCATAATACTCTTGACATTTAAAAGGCCAATAAAAGTTAGTAGTATATTTAACAATGTAAACTCAACACTTGTAACTTCAAATGTTCATGAAACAAATGGTCATAAGTTGAGGACTACTGGTGCACTTTTGAGATGCAAGTTCCAGCCTTCTTGTATGTGTTTCATCCTGATGATGCAATACTATTTTGATTGTTTTGATGAAAGTTTTTGATCTTACAAGTGTGTTTGCTTATAGAAAGTTTGCATTACACTTCATGGCAATACTGTGTATTACACTGATTATTTGGGCAGAGACTATTAGCAGTTTATGTTTAAGTACCTGATACAGAAGCTTCATGGCAATACACTTTGTATTACACTGGTCATTAGGATTTAGAATCTGATGCACACTTCAAGGTAAACTCATATCTGTCAATGTGTCCAAGTGAAACATTGGAGAACCAATCTAGCTCCACTTCCATTAGTTTATTCCCACAAATTTCAAACAAGCAGACCAATCTAGTAAAGTGAATTTCCAATTGAAGCAGAAGCAAATTATACATGTTTTAGCCCCCCCCCCTCTCTGCCTGAAGGCCACAATTCACCACAGGAAGGAGAAATATTCTAATTAGATAACCACTAAGTTGATTTTAAAAAAAAAGATGATAGCCTTACTGGATCAAACCAATACCCAGCTTCCCAGAACGGCCAGTTAGATACCTCTGTGAAAGTCATAAACATGCCTTGAAAACAGAAAGTTCTTCACTTTCCTTCTGCAAATGATTTTTTTTTCAAATTAGAAGGTTTCGTGTATCATAAATATCCCTTAATAGAGCTGTCTTCCAAAGCTATACTAATCTTCTCTTAAAGGCATCTAAATGAGCTGCAATCACTGTGTCTTTTGGCTGAAGCACTGTCCAAATAATGGCTTTCTTTTATCTATCCTGAATCTGCCAATCAATTTTATTGACCCTTTCAAGAGGAGGATTCCTAATCAAATGGCATTGTGTAGCAATGCCTTTTTTCCCCTCTCCCTAATGGATTATTCTGTGGTAAGAAAAAGATGGAAAAAGCAGTAGGAAAACATGAGAGACTTGTAAGTGGGAGATATTATCTGATTTCCTTGAAAAATGGTTTGAACAAAGTAAGGCAATTTTATGTTAAAAGTCTCACTTGGAAAAAGCCCCAGAATTATGAAGGAGGAGGAGAACCTTTTTTCTGCCCCTTTTTTATCTTGGATAATCTTGAGTTTTCTTGTTTTCTCTGTATAATCCCTTTCATGTAACATATGTTTTCCAGAGCTACTTGGATGTCTATAAGGATGTTAACAATATTCTTCATATCCTAATATTTCTTCAGGAATTCTTACTGTAGAACTAGATTGGCCATGCGGTGCTAATAAGTGTCAGCAGTGAAAACAACTTTGGTAAAAGAAATTCCATCCAAAGTAGTTTGTTTTATCAATATTAATTGCCAAATAGTGTGAGCAAGAAGAAGCAAGGTTAGGGAATAGAGACGAAGGGAAGGAATACAGTATTGGAAAGAGTGGAATGCCTCAGTCAATAGCTGGAAACTTTCCCAGATCATCTCATTTCCTGAGTAAGGCGAACAATAATGATGTCTAGTAACTTGTTCCATTAAAACAAACAAACTGGACCTCAAAGTTACAGGGAG